TTTTTTCTTTTTTATTTGCAGAATATAAAAGGAGTTCCCCTTGTTTCAAAAAAAAAAAAGGAGTTCCCCTTTGCACTATAGAAAGTTGGGTCCTTCTTTGATATTTTTTTTTTGGGACAAATCCTTCTTTGATATTATTTATTTGTGTGTGTTTTTCCCTGGACGACGACTTCAAAGTCAGGTGTTTGGAATTTTCTAAGAAGGGACCAGCACAGTCTCTTTCCATCATTGTTGTTTTTTTCTACTACAGAGAAGCTAAAAGAAATTTCTGAGAAATGAAGTGTGAATTAGAACACCCCTATAGAGGTTCTAACTTTGTAATTCTCAATATATATATATTTATATATAGATATAGATATAATTTTAAATTTTAACTAAAAATTCTCGAGACTGATTCATAACTAGAAAGTTTGTCGAACCCCTTTTTAATTGGAGATAAAACTCCAGAAATTAGCTATTTATATTATGTCATATAAACCTTAAAATCAAAAATATTCAATCCACTATTACATTTTATAAAAAAAAAATTATGTGTATGGACATTATAATGTTGTCATTTAGTAGTGCTTAACGATCTTCAGGCGATGCAACGGTAAAACTTGTAGGTTAATTTGATTACAGAGCCCAAAAAAACTAAAAGAAAAACAGAGGTCATATATATATCACAACGACCCTAATTAATAAGTCTCTCAAAATGAACTAGCTGCCGTGTCCGAGCTACTCGTCCACTTATCAGTCTCCGGCGAGATCGGCGGGGGAACACTATGCCTCAGCAATCCAACGTCATCTCCTCCGCTCCGCTCAACATCAACAACATCAGGAGACTCCTCCCGCGGATTCTCCCCCTTGATCCCTTTCAGAATCTCCACGATCTCATCCATCGACGGCCTCACTTCCCTCTCCTGTTGCAAACACCTGAACGCAAGCTCAGCCACTGCCATCATCTTCCGCTTCACCTCCGGATCCTTCGCGAATCCTAAACTCGGATCAACGAGCTCATGCAACATGTTGTTCTGAATCTTGGAGACTGCCATGTTCGCCAAGTTGATATCGTGGCGATGCCTGGTGATATCAACTGCCTCTTTGGATGAGATGAGTTCTGTAAGGACGACGCCGAAGCTGTAAACGTCGCTCTTCTCGTTTAGACGGTAGCATTGGTAGTACTCCGGGTCTACGTAACCCGGAGTACCTTGTGGGGCTGTGGAGATGTGAGTTTTGTCCATTGGAAACAGCCGCGAGAGGCCGAAGTCGGCTACCTTGACCGTGTAGTCCTCGTCTAGTAAAATGTTTGTTGTCTTGACGTCTCTGTGTATGATCCCTGACTTGTGGAGGAAGGATAATGCGCTCGCGGTTTCGATGGCCACGTTTAGACGAACTGGCCAGCAAAGAGGACGAGGTTCGGCGCGATCTCCATGGAGATGGTCTGCAAGAGTTCCGTTTGAGATGTACTCGTAGACAAGGAGAAGCTCTCTGCTGTGTCTCGACGTGCATCCGTAGAGTATCACGAGGTTTCGGTGCTTCAGCGACTTCAAGATATCGATCTCGTTCTTGAACTGTTCAACGCGTTTTAGTGATCTTTCGTATAGTCGTTTCACTGCTACTTCTCGTCCATCTTTCAGCATGCCTTTCAGAAAATGGACAAATATTTTTGATTATGATTAAAATGGGATGATTTTTGTAAGTGAGATTTGAAGAGTCAATTGGTTCTTACCATAGTATACGGTGCCGAAGCCGCCATCACCGAGCTCTCGGGAGAAATTATCAGTGGCTTGCTCGAGTTCTTCGTAGCTGAAGACTTGAACTCCGAAGTAGGTGCTTCCGTTTTGGAGGTTAGAGATTGAGGGGAGGAGAGAGTGGTTGCTATTGCTGGAGATTGTTGTGGAAGTTGGATAGCTTGATGTTTCTCTGCTTGAATAAGACGTTACTGGCAAGTCTTTGCTTGTGTATTGATCTATCTGTGCCTTCCTTCTCCGTCTGATTAGACAGAACAAACCTACGGCTGCAAGAATGGCGGCCACCGATCCACAAGCAGCCACAATGCCTAGAGTCAAAAAAAAAAAAAAAAATTTCATAAGAAGACTATGATGGTAAGTAAAGTGGGTGTTGCCAAAGAACAGAAAAAAAGTAAGCACCTGTTATGGCTTTAGTTGAGCGGCCTGCATCAAAAGAATAACACCACGAAAAGGTCAGTCCAAACTGAAGAGAGAACTTATACACTAGAAATTTTGAACTTGAAACTCATGGGAGTTTCTGTATATAGTTATCATAAATTAAAGGCACTTTATGTAGATGATAGAATCAAAAGGTTTGTCGCTGGGGAGATTTGGTAGTGGAACATTAACATGTTACCTAGAAACTTACTTTTTTTCTTAGAACCGCAAGTACGGCTAAGTGGCTCATCTATACAATAGCAGACGAATCCACCTGAGCTCTCATTATATCCACAAGCACCCTTCGAATCTATGCACTTTACACATTCTTGGTTAAGTTCAACCTTGAAACCCTCTTCAAGAGCTTTCTGGAAATTATCTCGAGTCGGGTTGATCTGCAGTGTGTCCAGCCTAGGCCCATATGCAGGAATACTGACGATTTTGCAAGATGTATCAAAGTGGTACAAATGACCTCTAATCCCATCAAGTAGAGAGGATGAGAGGTTTCTTGGCACATAGTAACTTCTTCCATCATCATTATCAGCTCCACAAGAAAGATCTCCAACATTAGTAGAAACATACCGTGATAAGTCTTGGCTGCAGCCGTAATAAATCGTTAGCAGAGTGGTGTTTGGAGCAAGTGGAAGGACGCTTTCATCGAATGGCTCATTTAAAGGATCTTTAGGACAAAGATCACCGATATAATCCGATCTTGCCAGTCTTATGAAACGATATTCATAATTCACCTCTAAGATTCTAAACTTCACTGAGGAGATACTAAACTCTGCGAATTCTCCGTTACAGTTTTCCAGCTTGAAGTCAGGATGGCCACAGCCTTCTCTTCCGTATGTCCAAAAAGGGTACAACAGACCGGTCTGGTTTCCGCATTTAAACGGTTGACTGCAGAGTTTGTGAAGCTCATTAGCTGCGAAAACACAAGAAGGTATCACAAAGAGTATCAATATGATTCTACAGAACATAGTTTTTTGGAGGGATAGAAAGAGATTGATCATTGTATTGGAGGTCAAGTAAGAAAATGGTGAAGAAAGAAAATATGAAGGAACTGATGAATGTCTTAGTTTTTTTTTTTGGTAAGAGTTGAACTAAAACAAACTGTGTTTGGTCCTTTTGACCAACCCTTCACTAATTTTCGTTTTAAATATGTTTTCTGGAGTTTTATATTTATATAAAATCGAAGGTTCTTTGGAATTAGGTGGCTTACAACGAAGACTTTGAATCCATATTGGTAAACGATGAAAAGGAATAGTGTTTTAAACGAGTTTGTTTTTCTTTGTTATTTACAGAATATAAAACGAGTTCCCACTTTGCACTATACAAAGTTGGGTCCTTCATTCATATATTTTTTATTATTGTTTTTTTTTCTGGACGACGACTTCAAAGTCAGGTGGTTGGAATTTTCTAAGAAGGGACCAGCACGCAGTCTCTTTCCGTCATTGTTGTTTTTTTCTACTACAGAGAATCTATAAGAAATTTCTGAGAAATGGAGTGTGAAATAAGGCAAAAAGACCTACTGAAACTGACTGGTGTTAGAATTTAGAAGTAAACGCATTAAATGAAAGAGCGTCTTCGCCTTCTCTTTTAAGCTCACTAGTAAGCTATGCTATTTGACTACCTCTAATTTGTGTAAAAATCAACAAAGTTATGTAGAAAAAACATATATAGTAACTAATTTTTTTGATTAACATGGGAGGTGTCTAGGCCAAAGCACAATTAATCACTGGTCTGATCCAATAGTGCAATTCCTTATCCAGTGGAAACCACTACCAACAATATGGTATATAGTAACTAATTGGTGAGAGCCAAGAAAAAAAAAAACCTCGCAAGAGATTTCACTTAGATAAATAAGGATTGTGGTTTTTCTTATTTGTAACCTAATAACGATTGTGGGTGCAGTAGAGTAATATGTGAGAGAGTAGAAAAGGTTTGCAGAATGAGAAAAAAAAAACTTTTTAAAAATACAACTCTTAAAAGTTGTTAAAGAAGATGGATATGAAACGATGATAATGTATGAGAAACTTACTATGAGGTAGATGGATTCTATTGCATTTTGATGATGAGTCATTTTTACAGCAGATCTGTGTGGTATTCTTGAAGCTGCAGATTCCATGAGAAGATAAACATAATTCACATGCTTGCTCATCAATCTTCACCTTCACATCAAACCCTTCACTCAAAGCATTTTCTAAATGTTTCAAATTCAACTCTTTCTCTTCAGGAACATAGCTCTTAGGAACGTTGATTTTGAAACTGTCTTGGCAGGATTTGTGGTAATCAAGGTTCTTAGACACTGAGACAGGACCTCTATCACGACAAGTATAACTCGAGTTGTAACGAAAGTTACTGTCGCAGAGGTAGAAAACAGTGAGGCTCTGAGAGGTTTGTGAAAGCTCAAAGACATCAGCAGGCAAGGTTGTGGCTGTAAATGTAGCGGTGCAAAAATTACCTCCTAGCTCTGCTCTAACAAGTCTAAGAGTCTTAGATGTTTGGTCTAGGTGGAGAACATCGTACAGATGGTTAGAGATTATTATAGATGTCTTGTTGTTAAAGCAGTGAAGCTCCAACGATGGATGACCGCAAAACTGGGGACGACTCCCACCGGAGAAGGGGAAACCAGCGGTGATGTTCCCACACTCGAACTTAGCCTCACACCACCCAAGCTTTTCTTTAGTTGAACCACAAGAAAGATGGTTGGAGAAGAAGAAGAGGAAGAAAAAGACAAGAAAATAAGTGGGAAGATAGTACATGATTTGATTGACTATGAATTACTAGGGTGTCTTTGGGTTTGGTTTTGTGTTGAGAAGACAGAGGAAGTGATTTAAGCAAAGAAACAGAGAGATAAGTATAAAGATTGTGTGGAAAGAGTGATAGAAGACTAAGTCAAGTGGGATAATGACAGAAGCGGAGACTTAGGGGAAAGACTTTTTTATCATTTGTTAATTCTTCTCTATAAGCTAAAAACTTTGAAAGACTTCTCTTATTTTTGAAAAGACTATTTAGTTTATAACTTGTATCACATTATCTATTAAGCTCACTAGTAAGCTAATGTAGCTTACCGTTTATTTGATTTGTCAAAGATTAATGGTTTAAGAAACTCAATAAAATATCTGAAGTTAACCACCATGCTCTGACTGCATGTCTTAGCTTGTTAGAAGTATAACCACTACTTCAGCATAAGTTGTTAAGGAAATGATAGTGATGCATAAGAAACATACCAGTTGGTGGATGGAATGGACCGTATTTACCATGCTCATACTCGCTCTTATCGATCTTCATCCTCACCTCAAATCCTTTCTTTAAAACACTTTCCAATTCGGGTAAGTCTTTCTTTTCTGTCACGAAACTCCTAGGAACGTTCATGGTAGAAGCTTCAAGGCAGAACTTGTAATTTTCAGGTTTGTCAGACACAAAGATCAAACCTCTCTCTGGACATTTATATCCCTGAAAGTGGATACCAAAAGGGTTGCAACTAAAGACTACAGTGACGCTTTTGTAGGTTGGGGAAAGCTTGAATAGTTTTGGAGGCAAAGTTGTGTTGGTGAAGTTAGAGGAGCAAAAAGAACCCATATGGTCTTTTCTTGCTAGTCTAAGAGTGTTAGATGGTTGATTTATTTGTAGAACACGGAAGTCTTGATCTGAGATGGATAAAGAGGTGATGTCTTTGTTGCAGTGAAGCTCCAGCAATGGATGACCGCAAATTTTGTCACGATTCCTGCCCCAGAAGGGGAAACCGGTGGTGATGTTCCCACACTGAAACAGGGTCTCACACTTTCCAAGTTCTTGTTTACTTGAACCGCAAGAAAGGTGGTTAGATAAGAGGAAGATGAAGAACAGAACCATAGAAGAAGTGGAAAGATAAGACATGATTTGCTTTATGGTTTGGTTTGTGTTAAGGAGAGCAGAGGTAGTGATTTAAAAAGAGAGAACATCTTAGAAATGAGGGTGAAATGATGAAGAACCTAAGGACCAAGTCAAAGGTCGGATAGTGACAGAAGCGAAATTAAGATGAGTTTTTGCTAGCTAAAAATTGAAAGCCTTCTCTTACCATTGTGGAAAAAGCCTCTCTCTAAAAAAACCTTCTCATCAGTTACAACATCATAATATATGGCGCATGAATCATGACATAGGCATTTTGAAAGTGTCCATGGTAGTTGGTGATGTCTGTCTAAGATTTGAATTGCAGATGACTCTGGGAACACTATTTGGTACATGAACTATGATGTTGTAATTGATGGAGAATATACAAGATTCTTCGAAATTATAAAAATATACTCCATTTACGTATATCAGAGAAAAAGTACTTGAACTTGAATTTGTGAGTTTTAGAAATAATAGCTCTTGAATTTGTATCTTTTATAATTATATTTAGCAAATCGCATTAAAATCCATTAACTAACATTTTAAACCTTGAAATTATTTTATTAATATTTTTTTTGGGTTCAACATACACACATCATGAAGATTATGTATATCAGCTCAGTAGCTTTACGTCCATATAAACGACAAACGATGATTGTTTCCTTACCTTGCATTGCGTGCGAGATTGTCAAACTATTCAGAAGATAGCAAGATCCTCAAGAGAAGTTTCAACTATTCAGAGTTCATCCATATTCCAATAAAATAGACTGGCCATTAATCTGATTCCAAAACCATCTTAATTTATTGAGAACAATTCGATGCAAAAATTACATAAAATTATTCTAAGTTGATCATATATTCCATTACCCAAATGAGTGTCTCAACCTTCGAATGGAAGGGAGAGAGATTGGGTCTAATATTTCTTGTTCCCATCAAACCATCAAATTTTGCTAGCGTGATGTACCATCCATGTCCAGAGAAACATGCAGTCTCTTTCTAAGATACATCTGTAAAACACCATCTCCTTGGTATAGAAGTCTCTCGACAAAATATTTCGAGATTAATTGGGAGTTGAATCTCAGCCCAAATGACACATTCTATCTTTGCCAATACAAAAATATCCTTAGGATCTACATTGAAATTACTAAAAATTACTATTTCGTGCTACTTTCCAAATGTACCACAATATCCAATGATTGAATGTTTTTTATTTTTAGAAAATTTCAAAAAAAAAAAAGAAAATTAAGTTTTAATGGCACTTTTATAAATAATATAAAAACTAAGGAATATTGGGGAAGTTTAAGACCAAAAATTGTTAGAAAAAAATTTAGTTTTAGGTTTAACCCAGATTCTTATGTTAGTTTTGTAAAACTCCCTAAACTTAAAGGTAAACAATATTGAAATTTTGGTGGATTAGATGGCAAAACTCGCCTATGCACCCATAATATACTAACGAATTATATGGGTCACTAGTTTCATTGCTAACTAGTTAATTTTGAATTGGAAACATATAGCTTACAGTTTTTTTTAAAAAAACATATACCTTAATAAACACTATCTCTGCCACTACATTTCTATTGGTTATTCTCAGTCTTGTTTCATCTTTAAGAAGTTTTTTGACGAGATGAGGAGTACATTACATATCAGAGAAAATATGAATACGTGTACTCAAAGAGTTAAAAAAAGGTAACGGAATCGATTGTATTAGCGGCGTGAGAAACATTGGGCAAAATTGTCAGTTCTTAGTAGTTCAAGTTTACATTTCAAAATGTAGAGGACAGGAGTTCATGTAGACAATGTTCTGTCACAAAGTTGGACTCTTTAAAAAGAAAAAGTTGGACGCGTTTCTATTTGAAAAAAAAAAACGATTCTTCCTCAGACACAAAATATCAACAATTTTTTTTTCTAACGTATCTGAAGTTTTTTTTTGTGGAATGCTATTTTAACACGAACGTGTTTGGACGTTACTGATGTCTCCGACGTGTATACCGATGTAATATGTTCCTTCCTGGTTCCTGCCATCATATAAATAATATGGATGAATCATGCGTTTCCAATCCCTGTTACTTTATGATATGGCATTAATCGATATATTCATTTGGTCCCTACGCTTACGTAAATATCTTTGTCGTAACTTATGGGAAGTAATGAGAAAATATCTGCATGTTTTGAACATTTGACCTTAGTTTATGAATAATGATTATGATTACAAAATTTGTGAACACTTTAGTTTCAGTTTGTGATTCGGGTTCAGGCATGAGCAACAGAGCAAGTCTGACCTAAAACGTTTAGTCCACCAGAAATTCAATTGGGCGAACTTAGCCTAGTCTCCCAATGCACACAAGCTTTGTTCAAGAAACTCGAACACGGTGTAGAACGAGTTTAGGCCGTGCCCTGAGTGAACACCACATCTTTTAGACATCTTAGACTTTATTTGTGAAGTAATTTTGATGTATCATTACCAGATTTTATTGCATTAAAAATAAAAACATAATATACCTTAAAATGACATGACTTAAGGTAAAATGTGACATGAACAATAACAATTAACTAGATCATAACCCGCCCGACTGGGCGGGTCTTTGTTTTTATGGTATATATAACATTTTAAATTACAATTTAATGATTCCAATTTTACTAAGTAATAGTATATTGTTTAAACATTGTATTTCATTATCGTATTGTGTAACATGGAGGTCGTAAAATATTGTGATCCGTAAACATTTTAGTAATAGTTTATAAAAATTTTTTGGCTGAATTTGGTGTAAAGTTATATACACTAAATAATTTAGTCAAATTTTTAATTTAATTTTTTAATAAAGAATTAGAAGGCTAGTATATCACTCTTAAAAACTTATAACAATAGTCAATATAAATTATATAAATAAAATATATATATTATTCTTGATTTATTCTAAATACATTTAAAACGTGAATACATATATGTATAAATAATTTTCAGAAGTAATATCAATGATAGAAAATCCAAAAACAATAATAATGGTATATTGGGCCGCAGTTATCTTTAGTTTAATAAATAAACCATTAAATTTGTATGTTATTCATGTTTCCAATCAAACTTTTAAAATTTTCTTATTCATGTTTCAAAACACTTTATTTTTGTACTTCAGCTTTAATAGTATAGATGTTTATTTTTATTTTTGCTAAATTTTTTAAATTTAGTAATACTTATATATCACCATTAAATAAACTTTTAAAAATATAATAATAGTTTATATAACAATAACAAGATAAATATTTTTCAAAAAATGTAACATTAAATAATTTATTTACAAATTCAAAATATTATGTTTTTTACTTTTGTAATCCTACAAATTTATTACTAAACAAAAATTTTAAAATTTCATACAATATATTTACAAAATATATTTTTAGTCAATATAATATTTTTCTTTTTGATATCTACAAAATTTTAAAATTATGTGTAGTTTTATTTTTGAAATATATACAATTTGTATTATTTTATTAATTTTAGACAAATTGATTTAATTTATCTTAACCTAAAGAAATAAATGAAAATATATTCAAGATTATAAATTGTAAGTATAATTAAAAAAAGAAGTTAAATTGTTTATTCTATTTTAATTTTATCTTTAATTAAATAAAAATGATATTAAAATATTGATATAAATATAAAAAAAAATATTCTTAAAAATATGATTTAAGTAAAAATTGTATCTTGTACATTGTGCATGAAACCACCTAGTTTATGTAAAATTAAGAGCATGTACATTAATGAACTTGGGCTGTGGTTTATAAAAGTATTTTTTATTATTCTTTTTTTATTTTTTCTGTTTGATTTTTTAAAAAAAGATAAGCGAACCAATCATGGGCCGTCACGTGATGTGGAGTCTACAAAATAGTAATGATACTGGTTCACGGCAGGGACACTCTGCTACCTGAGTTCACAACTTTTATAATATTTTAATATATTTTTTTTTGTA